CAAATTCCTTTTTGGTTTGCCGTTGTTCCCCTACGTCCTGACCCCTTCCCATCCCCCCACCCCCCTGAAAAAAAAAAATCTAATTCCAGTCACCATGATCACACCACTGTGCACCACTGGCTGAAGATTTTAGGAGAGGGTTGGCAAAACCCTTTTTGGGATAAATACTAAATTTAACTGACTCGTTTTTCCATTTCAAATATGCACGTAGGGTGGACAGGGTTAGATATCTTTATGTGCTGCCTGGACAACACCCACCGCTTCCCGCTGCAGAAGTGGAGCTCAGCTCCTTATTCCTTTCAACCCTAGCAAGTGATTTACATTTGCAAGTTTTTTTCATGGGGAAATGGGCTGGAGAATTATTTTAACAAACCAAAGTCAAGACTCTCCTTTGAGGGGTGTAGGTGCCAGTTTTGTTAAAAAGGAGTTTACATAACCCTCCTTCTGATCATCAATACCTTGAAGATAATGACAACTTCTTTCCTTTGACTGGTGTGTAGGTTTATCTCCTCACTAGGACCTTGCTTTGGGGAGAGTGACTTAAAGTTGGTCCCTTAAATATAGTCCCTTGTCCTCAAGGGAATGAATTAGTCAACTACTTGTAATGTTTCCTGACAATATCAATTAGTTGGTCCCTTACTTCAGAGCCTCTCAGGGAAATGAAAACAAGATCAATCTCTTGACCTCAGGGAAAAAAAAAGTCCCTAACTTGCTCTTTCCCCAATACCAGCTTCAGTCCCAGAAAAACCCAGTCTCTCTGGGTCAATGAGGAGACAAAGCACCTGATATTTCACTGTCTTGCCCATTTGTACAGGGTGGATGTAACCCCCCTAACAAATCAGATAAGTAGCGTTTTTCTCTAACTCCACACAGGTGTAAATGGTTACCAAAGGCAAGGTACTGGAGAATCAAACCAAGAGTCTCTGTATATAAGCCAGTTTGGCCCTTGACTCTAAGGCTTGGTCTACACTAAACCCCCAAATCGAACTAAGATACGCAACTTCAGCTACGTGAATAACGTAGCTGAAGTCGACGTACCTTAG